TCTAAATCTACTCTTACTTGCCAAATAAATCCCAACACACACATATACATACACTTTATTGATGTATATAAAGTGTAGAATGAGGCAGCGGTTATCCATGGTTGGCGAAGATGGAAAGCGGATGCCGCAAAGGTTGTGGATATTGAAATGTCGGATCCCGTTGTTGTCGTACTGTGTTTTGGGATACTTCGAACCTTGTATCTTCGCTGACCACAATGCCAATGTCAAACCCACCGCAGACCTTCTCCAATGCCCTCCTCGCATCATCTTCTCTCAAGGTTCTGGGTCAACACTCCACATAAATAAAATAAAGTCAGCATAAAAGTGACGTCTTTTTTTTGGGGGGGGGGAGCACGTGGCAACTGTGCAGTGGCAACTGTGCAGTGGCAGCATCTCGTTTTCGGCTCGTATGCTGTAGGCTTGCTCACCAAGAATACAACTTCAGACTTAAGAGGCTTGGCCATCAAGCTATCCCCGAAAAGTAGGTATTTAATACTCCATTCGTTGCCAGTAGTATTCATTCATCGTTCATCAATTTACTAGTTCCATGATCCCCATACTTACAATTCTTATCTCTTCATTCTTATATGCTACTTCCAAGATACTGTGACTCTGCCTGCACGGGGTCAAATCTCTCCATTTGACTTTTTTTTTCACTTAAAAAAAATCAACCCAGTGAAAAAAAAAACAATGACATTGATCAATTAAATTAATTGACTTATTAATCGCATCATTGAGATGAATACAATTCTTATCTCCCCGCATAACTATAACAAGAGATATGACTCTTCCTGAATATATATATATATATATATATATATATATATATGTTTTACTTGGTCACATATCTTCGGTTGATTTCATTTTCACTTTTTGATAAACAATGATGCATTTGCACCTGCCACGTTTTTAAAATTCAATGAGACTCATCAGTTAAATTAATTCATTCCCTTATCACCCAGTTGAGACGAATGCAAATCTTTTCTCATTACCGTATGACCATTCCGGAAGACATCTTTATATGGGGTCAAATTTTCACAAATGTTTTGGGCCATAATAAAAATGTCCAGATCTATACTGATTGCTCTCATTGCATAAACTAAACTTCACGAGTAAAAAATAAGTTACAATAAAGACATTTAGGATTGCCAATCTTTAAATCTAAAGCAATACTGCTCCCGCTAAAAGTATGAAACGAGGGTGATCAGTTAAATCAGTAATTATATTAGAAAAAAATCTTTGATAGGTGATCAGTCAAATCAAGAATCATTGTCGAATAATAAAGATGCTAAAAATAGTTGGCGAAGAATGATAGGCGGTATGTTGGTAGAACAGTAAAACGTCAAACGTTCAAAATACTTATCACAAAAAATGAAGAAAAAAAAAACTATTGAAGATTGCTCTTTATTATGAAAATAATAATTTAATCGAGAAACAGGATGCAAATTTCGTGTTCGCAATTACTTCATTCCTATTCGTGTTGATAAAAATAATGAATAATCCACCCTCTCTTTAGATAGTATTAAATAATCGTGGTGACTCCCGGGCTTCTTCTTTCCTTCCTCTTCGGGGGCCCTCATCGTTCTTTCAACCTTTCTTCTCTCTCTGTTTCTGTCTGGATTTTCATCCAAAACATAACTTGTGCTGAAGTTCACTGCGACAGACCTCCACGATCAGTCTTTCTGGTTCGTCCCATCTTTTGCTGTTTCTTTAATTTGGATTCATCTTCGTTTTTTTCCCGCTAAGATCGGTCTTTCGTCTAATAACTCTGATGCGCGCCTTCTTTCTCAGTTTTTGTTCATATTTTAATTCAATTCCTTTATTCATAATATTCAGATCTATCAAGCATTTCGGGTATTAGTGCTTCTGGGTCTAGCTTCTCCGCTGCCCCTGAACATGGATCTTCACTTTGACGGAAGTCAAGATTTTATAAACGGTTATAAACTTGATGATGGCGCCGCCAGCTCCGATTCAAACGATTTACCATATCCAGCGAGCGAGTGGGAACTCGACGAAAACTATCGGATACTTCTCAACTTCACAACCGATCCACTGTATCAACCTTATGCGTCTCCAGTAAGTTATGCTCCGCAATCTAGCGTGAAATATGAAGGATCAGAGCGGTTAGTTTCATCCTCGACTACAGGACCAGTAGAAGGCATGTCAGATGTGGCAGCTGCGTCGACGACTTCGTCCCCAGATCCTTCTCTGGAAGACGCTGACTTTTCAGAAACTATGAGGTACATAAGCCAAATGCTTATGGAAGAGAACTTTGAACAGAAGCCAAGCATGTTTTATGATCCCTTGAGTCTACAAGTCACGGAGAAATCATTCTATGATGCTCTCAGAAAGGATCATCCTCCTTCCCCCAATCAGCATCCCCTAGACATTCATCAGAATCTTGATAGCACAGATGATAACTGTTGTGCTAGTAGTAATGATTTTGTCAATAACAGTAGCAGCAGCAACAAGTCTCGGGAGGCTAATAAGCCCTCTTCCTCCTATGCTTCATTTTCTGGAGATTATGCGTCCCACTTAAATTTTCAACCCATCTCTGAGAAACCATCTCAACCTCCGAGTGCTTATACTTGTATCAGCGACGGGCTGTCAGAGGTGGATTCCTCTTTTACTAAGGTCATGGCTCAAAATATCTTTACTGATGCAGAATCCGTTTCACAATTTAAAAGGGGGTTGGAAGAAGCTAGCAAGTTTCTTCCCAGAGGACTTCAACTTGTCACAGGTCTGGAGAGCAGCAACGTGCTTCCAGAGTCCATGGGAGCGGCTAAAAAGGCAATAAGAGATATTCGGGAGAATTCACATGGAATGAAGGGTAGGAAGAATCATGAACGTGAAGCTAGTGATACAGAAGAAGGGAGAAGTAACAAGCAGTCGGCAGTGTATGCCGACGAGAGTGATATATCAGATATGTTTGATAAGGTGTTGCTTAGTGTTGAGAATGTTCCGATATGTGAGGAGCACCACAGATGGTTGCAGAATGGAACAGACAAGGCGAAAGAGCCAATTGAGCAGCTAAATTCATCCAACGGGGCGAAGACCCGCGGTAGGAGACAAGGCAGGAAGAAGGAAACCGTGGATTTAAGGACTCTTATGGCTCTATGCGCGCAAGCTGTGTCTGCAAATGACTGCAGAACTGCCAATGAACTACTAAAGCAGATTAGGCAGCATTCTTCCCCACTAGGTGATGCATCACAGAGGCTGGCTCATTACTTTGCCAATGGCCTTGAGGCACGCTTGTCTGGCGGTGGTACTGGAACCAAAATATTCTATGCCTCTCTAAGCTCTAAGAGGATATCTTCTGCTAATATCTTGAGAGCTTACTCGGTTCTAATATCTGTCTGCCCCTTCAGGAAGTTTGCATATTTTTTCGCAAATAAGATGATTATGAAAGCAGCTGAAAAGGCAGAAAGTCTTCATATTGTCGATTTTGGCATTCAATATGGTTTCCAGTGGCCAATACTTATCAAGTTTCTTTCGCAAAGGGCTGGTGGGCCTCCGAAACTACGCATCACAGGGATAGAATTGCCCCAGGCTGGGTTTCGTCCAGCAGAATTAATTGAGGAGACCGGTCGACGTCTATCCAATTATTGCAAGCGTTTTAATGTTCCGTTTGAATACACAGCCATAGCATCACAAAACTGGGAGACCATCCCGTTAAAGGACTTTAAGATTGAGAGCAACGAACTGCTTGCTGTGAACTGTTTGATGAGATTTAAAAATTTACTGGACGAGACGATTGAAGTAAAAAGTCCTAGAGATGCAGTTTTGAATTTGATCAGAAAGATGAATCCTGATATTTTTGTTCAATCCATTGTCAATGGATCCTACAATGCCCCTTTCTTTGCCACACGGTTCAAAGAGGCACTGTTCCATTTTTCTGCAATGTATGATATGTTTGACACCGTCATACCTCGTGACAATGAATGGAGGCTGATGCTTGAGAGTGAGTTTTTGGGTCGGGAGGTTATGAATGTGGTTGCTTGTGAAGGGATCGAGAGGGTTGAGAGGCCTGAGACATACAAGCACTGGCAAGTTAGGGGTACAAGGGCTGGTTTCAGGCAGTTCCCACTGCCAGATGAGATTATGGTCAAATTCAGCGAAAAGTTGAAGGCATGGTATCACAGGGATTTTGTAATTGATGAACACAACAACTGGATGATTCAGGGCTGGAAGGGCCGCATCATTTATGCTTCCACATGTTGGGGGCCATCATAATGATGAGATGTTGACGAAGTCTGGGCTTTTTCCCGCAGACGACTCATTCTGGACTTTTAGGTATGTTTACAAGGATCGTTTATAAATCTTTGCTCTTCACAGTACTCATATATAACTGCTGATTTTTTCTCTGTTAATAATCATGCTCACTCAATCCAGCACGGATGGTGTAATGGAGGGACTCATTTTAGTAGTTTTCACGATTTCAGGTCATGATAACTCAGGTGTTCCCAATTTACTTATCCCACAGCAGCTGTGATGCACTCTCTTCCCAACTTCTGACCAACGTCGCTTCATCTTCTAGATGTCCTAAAGACTCGCCGATTTTTTATTTATTTGTTTTTTTCCACACAATTTAGGGGGGGGGGGGGGAACGCCTTTTGGTGGTGAGTGGTGACTTTCCTGTGAGATGGAGACTTTGGAGCGTAAAGCAAATCGGAGAGCATGTGAAATCGTCTCTGAGGTCTCTGCTCTCTGACTGACACGTACCATTAGATCATCAATCAGACCAGAAGCAATGTTGTTATATGTATATATTGCGGGTTGCTTCGAAGAAAGGAGGGAAGGAAGTGGGGCGGAAACAAAAGTGTAGCGTTTGGGGAGGACGATTACTTGGAAAATCAGAGAGCTAAATTGATATACGAGTATTAATTATGCGCTAGTGGAGAAGCGAAAGACTAAAGTGAAGAGGATAAAGGAAAAGCACGATAGGGTGGGTGGGTGGCTAGTTGTTGGCGGGATTTCTTGGGACGGCCATGGGGAGTCCCCCGGGTGGCGCTGATCAACTTTTCTACTTTGATCCTTGTATGATTCTTGTATTTATTCCCCCTTTATGCCTCTTTTTATTCAATCTTGTCGCTTTCCTCCTGTCCATTACAGATTCATTCATCCATTATAGTGTTTGACGACACATTGAGAACCATTCTCGTTGATGACGATGCAAGTCACTTAACACCCCCGCAATTAATAATTCCTTTGCGTCTAAATCATTATCTATTGCAACTGCTACAAAATCCTTCTCTTCTTGATTAATTCCTTTCATAAGGAAATCAACACGGGAGATACAATTGAATAATCCATCGTCTCCTCGATAGCTAATTGTCAGAGCTAAACAGAGGCAAAACCTGGATTGTGAATTTGGAGATATTTTCAAGCTAACCATCGGTTCACGTACTCAATTTGATAACTATTTTGCGGTTTTAATTATTAAAAAAAAATTTTGACCAGCAATTATTAAAGTATTAACTGTTTACTATTCTTGTAAAATGTATGGATACCACCGTTTTTTTTTTGGCCAAGTATGGATACCGCATTTACATCTAGCTTTTCATATCAATATATGATCGAGTCCAGTGTAGTTGACGCGATTGAAACATAAAGAAGCTGGGTTTTTTTTTTGGGGGGTGGGGGTAGTCAAATAGGCAGAGGGTCAAAAGAGGCAGGGGATCAAGTTGCGTTTCCCGAGGCTGAGGAGTGATTGGGGCGCGTAAATGGAGAACCAACCATATGATGTGATGTGTTCGCATCAGGAAGCTGGTTCCCATCTTTCGGTTGTGGGCCCCCCTCCCATTCCCCGGCCGCCATCTCCACCGTCTCTTTTCCTCGTTTCCCCCTGCCATTCCCTCATTTATTCTCTCGCCTTCACTTCACTGTTCACAAACAGTACTCAGCTTCCGGGGAAAAAAAGTCTGGTCCTCATGCAGCGTGTTGGAGCACACTAAGTACTGCATTCTGTGATCTTAACGGTTCGCCTTCAAACTGTGTTGGGCAGTGTTTGAAGGGAAAGAAAACAAATTACTGCAGGACTAATGATGTTTTCTGTTGGGAGGCGTAACCCTTCATACAAACTAAGGAGACATGTTCCGCTTCGCCCTCAGTCCCCACCAATCCGAGAGAAGTGATCAGCTTTATTTTTTTATTTGTTTCGGACAGTGGGCAGGTTCACAGTCCACATAATTAAGCACATGGCCCTGTCTCTATATTCATCCCGCATGTTATTTTCTGTTGTTTGAAAATTTTCCTGTTCACATTCATGGATAAATGAAACATCTAGAGGGCCTGCAACATGTCAAGTTGGTATGAATCGTCACTATAATAATAATAAAATAGAAGACCAAATTTCGTCGCTATGTCTTTATTTTATCTTTCCAATTTCCAATTTCGATTTTGTTTTTGTTTTGACAGTGCTGGCTGACTTTTCGCAGTGGACTCATTCGGCTGTGGCCCGACCTAGGCCATTTAATTTTTAAACCCCAGCCTTGGGCTCTAAAAATAATTATGCTTTATTATTCTCTTACATTGTTACGGATCCATGAACAACTCTTATATTATGAATTTGCTAATTTTTATTTGAATTCAAACATAATAATCTTCCTATGAGAATAAATTTGGAAAATTATTTTTTCACTTAATATCATTAAACACACACAAACATATCAACATTAGATTCAAATCCAAAACCTCATTTAAACATGAGTGGGCACTCGTTTGCAGAGTTTAAATTTTAACAGAGAGTATTGGCATGACCCATTTAACATGTTATTTGTTAAAAGCGATGCGTTAAAATTACTTGACTGTAAATACTTGATAAATGACTTTGGAATTTAGAAAGTTAAAAAAATAATGTGGAAATTGATGAGTTACATTCTCAATAATTTTGGGCCCTCGAGTTTTTAGTCATGAAATTATGGATGAACTCTGGCGCTGAGTAGGAGAGGGCACCCCCCAAAAGGAGGGAAAATATAGGTTATTTGTCTTGTTGCAAGAAAAGACAACTCTTTTTTTTTTTTGGCGTGGGGGGTTCAGGCTTGAGAACACGCAGAGTTTTGCTCTACCGCATCTTCTTACGGTCCCTCTTTGTCCTCGTTCTTCCCCTCCACGCGTGACAATGGCCTCATATATACATATCTATTATTATATTATACTCCTCCGGTCCTTATTATAAGACCCAATTTGACTTTTTATTTGGTCCTAATTATAAGACCCAATCCATTTTCTCTCTTATATTTATGCATTTTTTTCCAAGATAATCCTTCTAATAATGATAGTTTTAGCCAATATACTTAATTAGCAAGGATATTTTAGGAATAACAACACTTATTTATTATAAATAACCAACTTAACTTACTTCCTTAATCTCCTCAAATAAGTCAATTGGGTCTTATAATTAGGACCGGAGGAGTATTATTTATTCTTATAAACACACAACGCGTTACCGCGTCAGTAAGTTTGAAATAAGAGAAAAAAACGAATAAAAATGATTGTATTTGTTATTTACTGATAAATGGACAGATGGCTCCTTCTTTCAAATGCATTGCTATATGAACACTTACTTGCAGAGGGATGAAAGGGAACGTGACTGCATCACGAGGGGAGGCATCCTTAGATTGGCGAAATCCTTAACCACTACGTACGTGTATTTCTCTTTATTAGCTTAAGGACAGTTCTAAGATCAGGCTTTTTTCTTACGCAGACGGCGTTGGGCTCACTGCTCCTCTCCTCTATTATTAGTGTTTATGTTAACTCAATACCACTGCTACTATTACTACCATACATATATGTCCTCTTGTGTTGGGCTTAGTGCAACTTTGTTTGTGTTCTTAATTACTTCTTTTGTGTAATAGCATACGTGTTGTTGATTTATAATATATGACACTTCTTCCGGGATCATTGTTGCGCATACCCACTTCAGTATATTAAAAACAAATAACTATCTCATCAAAATTAAGAAAAGTGGTCATATTTTTCTTAACAGCCCTTTATAACCATCCTGGATTAAAACCATTTTATATTTAAAATCGGAGCTAACAGACAGCTTCCTCTTCATTATTTTTTCCCCAAAAATCTCAAATTTTAGGTTCATGGCTTGCAATTTGTAAATGCAAAATTTTGAGTTCTGATTTATTTCACAAAAAGAAAAAAAAAAAAAAATCAAAGATGACTCTTATTTACGCGTGAATAATAAGTTCTCCCACTCAGGACTGGAATATCCCAGGCAAAAGGGAATCATTATTTGTTCACTTATGATGGCGATGCGTTCACACTAGGACGAGGATTAAAAAAAAAAATTAAATGAATAGAATACGGGACACGGCCACTGCCTTGGTGATGAAGTTTTCCTTCCCTCTCCAGTCTCAACACGTGCGATCTTTGACTATCACACCTCCTCATTGACCTCATTTCTAAATTATATTCCCTCAGCTATTGTAAGTTATCTGATCTTTTTACAAGAGTTTTGTGGTCTAACATGTGAGTCAATTTGTTAGAATTTTTCAAATATTAATTTTTATTAAAAAATATTAAATGAAAAAAAACCTTATACTGAGAGAAATCACATACGTATCAAAGAATTCAAGAGGTGAGGAGTTGGTTAAAATTAACCGACTACGAAAAGATAAATTTGGCAAAGAGCTAATATTGCCTGGTAAACTCTTGTGGGAGTGGACCGTGACGACAGCCAGGCCTGCTCGTGACTCGTGTTCATTGGACAAGATGATATGATTAATGCTCCAGTCGCGCCCCGGCTATCCTATGGAGCGTTTATAAATACTACGTAATCCGGTAATCACGTACACAAAAATTGCGAGTAATTAGTAAAATTCGTTTCATAGCCCATAATAACATGGCGGCTGTCTTTGTCTTTTCTTTGGCTAAGCATCTTCCTAGAAAGTTCTTTGCCCCAAAGATGACTCTTTTCCTTGGTTTTAAAAGAATCACATCTCCGCGTCGAAGACAATCCGCTGGTTACTCCTCACTCTCCCACCTTATCTTCTAGGTATTGTTTCCATTATTTCCTCTATTTTATCCCTCACTCCTTCATTTTCCTTTCCTGATTATTCTTCTCCCTTCGTTTCCTTTTGATTCATCTCTCCTAATTGATTAGTCTCGGTATTTAGTTTTCTCACCTTCACCTCTTATCGCAAATTTGATTCCTCTGCTAGTTCCGTGTATATTTTTTCATCTGCTCTGTCTCGGTGAATCTTTGGTTCCCTTGGCTGATTAGGTTTCGAGTTTCAAATTTAATATTCATTCTTCTTTATACACAATTTTCAGTCTTGATTATTAAAAGTCAAACTTGTTGGTCCGGTTCTGGTTCAACTGGCATCTATGGATACTCTTCTGGAGAACTTTCCTGGTAACCTGAATGGATTTAGATTCGACAATGGTCATATTTCAGAACTTCCAAACCAGAACCCTATAAACGGGTTCACCCATGATGATAAATCGGACGTTTCGTCCTTTCCAACCAATTCAGAGTTTCATAGTGAGTCGGGCCAATCTTCTAGCACGAGCACGAATGAAGAATCGGCGGACAGTAACAAATACTCCAATCCGGCTCTCAGATTCATAAGTGAAATCCTCTTGGATGAAGAAGATGACCTGGAGCGCAAGCCTTGCATGTTGCAAGATTGCTTAGCACTCCGGGCTGCTGAAAAATCTTTCTACGATGCCCTCGGTCGTAGTTACCCCTCTTCTCCTCGTCAACTCTCTGATTGCTTCCATGGTGAAAACACTGATAGCCCGGATGATCAAAACTTCCTTCCTACCCATAGTTTCGAGAGCAGCAGCAGCTATACCACTGATAATACATCTGACTCCGAATGGGTGAACGGTGTTGTCAATTCCCCAGAAAACATCCTCGATATTTCAGATCTGCCTCCCGATCTATTTGGAGTCACCCTTGATCGGAGCAATCTGCAGCTGAATCTTGGGGGTTCCATGCGCAACTCAGGATCCAGAGGAAGAAGGGAAAAGAGAACCCATCGGATGAGCGATTCTATAAACGAAGGGAGCAGAGGCAGCAAAGTTTCTGCTGTCAGTTCAAATGATTCAGAGCCAACGGAAATGTTTGATGAAGTGCTTCTCTGTAATCTCAGAACTAGTCAATCCGAGTTATGTGGCCCACAACCATCTCAAAATGGTGCACTCCATCTAAATGTTGACTCTGGAGGATCAAGCGGGAAGGCAACGCGTTCAAAGAAAGGGTCTAACAAGGGGTCAGCAGTAGATTTGTGGACTCTACTAACCCAATGTGCCCAAGCTGTTGCAAGCTTTGACCAAAGGAATGCCAATGAACTTCTCAAGCAGATCAGGCAGCATTGTTCCCCTTTTGGCGATGGGCTCGAACGGTTGGCTCATTACTTTGCCAATGGTCTTGAGACCCGTTTGGCTGCTGGGACACCATCATATAACCCCCTCAATGGCAACGAAGCAACTGCTGCTGAGATGTTAAAAGCTTACAAACTATACATCACAGCGTCTCCTTTCCTCAGGATCTCAAATTTCTTGGCCAACAGAACAATTCTGCAGCTGGTAGAGGGTGAAAATAACCTTCACATTATTGATTTTGGCATTTGCTATGGTTTTCAATGGCCCTGCCTTATCCAGCGTCTTTCAGAAAGACAAGGTAGTCCTCCCAAGCTTCGTATCACAGGAATTGAGTTTCCTCAATCAGGGTTTCGGCCTGCAGAGAGGATTGAGGAGACAGGACGAAGGTTAGCAAACTACTGCAGGAGGTTCAACGTCCCTTTCGAATACAACTGCTTGGCACAGAATTGGGAAACCATCCGACTGGAGGATCTGAAGATCGACAGAACCGAAATAACTGTGGTTAACTGTTTATACAGATTGAAGAACCTGCCTGATGAAACTGTGTCTGTGAACAGTCCAAGGGATGCTGTCTTGAAGCTGATAAGGAAGATCAATCCAAATATTTTCATACATGGCGTTGTCAATGGCACCTTCAATGCCCCATTTTTTGTCACTCGGTTCAGGGAGGCATTGTTCCACTTCTCATCTTTGTTTGACATGTTTGAAGCCAATGTGCCCCGGGAAGATGCAGAGAGGTTGTGGTTTGAGAAGGGGATCTTTGGAAGGGACGCCATGAATGTTATAGCGTGCGAGGGGACAGAAAGGGTTGAGAGGCCAGAGACTTACAAGCAGTGGCAGGTTAGGAATCGTAGAGCTGGATTCAAGCAACTCCGCATTAACGCGCAACTCGTTAGTAAAGCTCAAGAAATGGTGAGGACCGAATATCACAAGGACTTTGCGCTGGATAAGGATAGCAGGTGGGTTTTGCAGGGATGGAAAGGGCGTATCATTCATGCTCTTTCTATCTGGAAACCTGCTTAGACAATCACGAGAGAGCATCGTAGTGCGCTCTTGACCTGTTTTTCACCTCGTCCATTGGAGCATGGAGTAGATACTAGATGGTGTTTTAGTGTTTCCTAGCTAGTGTAGCATGGCATTCTCTTGATATGTAACGATTTCTCGGGAAGCTTAGAAAACATACATCTGTCGTTAACTTTCCCGCTGGAAGACCTCCAATGTAAAGAGTTATACTTATATCATTGAAACGCTTCATCATCACAAGACGAACTCTATAAAAATAGCCTTGTTTGTACGTAACAATGTAGCATTATGTTACATATTTCTTCGTGTCTACCGTCTCTCGAGCATCTGGTCGCTCTGCTACTTGGTACAATAATTAATAGACCAAAACCACCCATCCCGCTACCCAGAAGACAGCAAATGTTAAAAGGGCCAATACCCCCCGATTATAATGACGAAAAAGAATAACAAACACGCCATAAGGTCTACAGTATCTCATCCATACCGGTCCTAAACACATCACATGTAAAACTGTAAAAGGCAGCACTTGCAACTATAACAAGCTGCTCGATTGAATTACACTCAGAAAATAACTTTTGGATATACAAAATCCAATAACACAAACAATAGAGAACTCAATTAAGCATGATTACACTGCCTTAACAATGAACTCATCTTATTTTGGTTAACATTTGGGTGGTCTAAGAACATTCCAGTCCAACTTATCTCCCTTTGGTTTTTTGAAAGACCCCAAACTGTTTTTTGGCGACGTATGACGATCGCTTTTATCATTCTTGGGTGACTTATTTGGAAATTGTGCCTCAGACATGTCTTCAGGCTGTTTTCTTTTGAGGTCGGCGTTAACCTCATTAATAGTCGGGTTTGCACAACCTGGACCATCTACCGGAGCTCCATTCTCTCTGAATCAAACGTGAAAACATTTGTCAGTTTACCAGAGTCAAAATCTAGAGATGTAATGATTATCCGGATTTCGGAATGAAATCAAAACCACTGGTGGAGAACCATTTGCCCCTAATTTCCCCCAGGCATGGGGTAAAGCACACCAACGCAAGTTAAATACGATAAAAGATCATATATTCACCCAGAATTATTGGAAACGAGAACCAACCTGGTAGAAATATTTACACTATGATTCCTAGAAATAGATGCTTCAGCTGCTGGCTGATGGAGCCTTGGTTCTCGTTCATTCAATCTCTAAAGGCAAGAATTCGCTATTAGAAAATGAAATAGACGAAAAAGACACAAAGTTAAACAGGGGAGCTTCACAATCTTGATCTTCCGACTCACATCAATACGTGGATTAAAACTCTGAAATGACATCCGACCTTTAATTGCTCCTGGATGGGGATCGCCTTCCATTATGACGATACTGCATATATTTTTAGAGAGAAATGTCCAGTTAATAAGCTAAAAACTAAAACAGGATAAGGGAATATGCATAACCTAGCATCAGATCAGAGGCAATTATGTAATCGAGTTGCAAAATTAAACTCGGCATACACAGTGCTTATATCGTTATGCTCTTTGAAACGAGGTATAGGTAAAATGCCACAGCATATTTCACTAGTGATAACAGGATCTCAAATTTCACAAAGAATTTTCAAAGTCACTCATTTGCCAAAGATGATAAGATATAAGGTAAAACAGATGTCCCACAGTTGGTAATAGAAAAACAGAGAAAAAATTAGCCAATGGTAGACACCCGATAGATAAGACTTGGACGACTTAGCAACAGAAGACTAGAATCAGTTCAGTAATTTGTAAAACCTATTATATTCACTCTGCCAACCCTTGATCAGTTTGGATTGTTTTGGTTCGTATGATCAGAAGTAATGGCTGGATCTCTCGACAAGACTGATATTTATTGTTAAGAAGAAAAGCAGATTTAAGACACGTGAAAACCTAATGAGAAATAAGGGGCCCTAATTTGATGTATATACAACAAAGCCCCAGCTGACCATCAATCCAATACCCATTACGCTAATTAAAGAGGTGAAAATTGTATCAGAAAATTTTGATACCATGTCAGCACAATCAACACGTTTTTTGCAAGACTGAAGTTCAAATTAGCATTTGGAAGGATGAAAGAAAATGAAAATTACCATTTTCTACTTATTGTAGCAGTTTCAAAAATATTTCCATCAGGTTTCACTTCATCCTCTTTCTTGAACTTATCATCTCTCAGAGCTGCCCTTTGCATGAACTGTCGAAACAGAAATATTATCCCAGTAACAAGTCAAAAAAAGAATGCAAATATGAAATCTTGAACCGAAAAATAATCAGGAGAAGCCGAAGAAATAAATCTCATCAGAATCTAATTTGAACAATTATACATGAAAAGCCAAAAGGAGCGCGTTAAATTCCTAGTTTCTTACCTTCAAGTTCTTGAGTGTGCTGGAAAGCTCTCGCTTTGCCATTATGATTTCCGAACCTCCACCAGACTGGCCAAGATCGAAGCTTCACCTCCACTCGAAATTATATCTTCTCAGCGGGAACCAAAATTAGGGCTTGTTAAGGGCAATTTTATTTTCAATTTTTTATTTATCTTGCAAGATCATGACTTCATTCTTCAAATTTCCTTAAATGACTATTATGTCCTCGTATCGGATTTGGGTCGGGTGCCCAAGTACAGTTTAGAAGCCCGTGTCACCAAAAAAAATTTCTGCATGGTACAGTTCTTCTATATGCTTTTATAGAAAGGACAAACTTTTTGTGGGGCAGCTACATATAGTAAATTTCTGGTGAAAAAAAAAATTACATATGGTAAATTTTTAGATTTCTTTTTTTTGCCAACAAATTTTTAGAAGTTCTTGAGTTTGCAATATCTACTATGCTATCAGACTTAGGTGTTCATTTATTTCTTGAGCCATCAGACTATTATTGTTTTTTTTTGTAACAAAAAGTTTAGGTGAGTTGAGTCCCGGGACTCACCAGGGCCAAGGCATACCTCCAGATTCAGAAAACACTTACAAAGGTACTTACAGATCGCCCACCAACAAGGTTTTTACATCAGCAGCGGGATTCGAACTCACGACCTTATGAGTTATGAGCCGACTTCTTACTAATTAGACCAACTCTTGTTGGTATCAGACTATTATTGTTAACCTTCGAGCCTGTGGAAACTTCTTGCGAACCCCCTTACAATGGGGTACGTCAACGGGTTATTTCTAGCTTCTCCTTTGCATCTAATGGCGCAATTTAAAAATAAAAAAAGAAAAGAAAAAAATCAGTGATCAATCATTTATAAGTGTTGCAAATAACTTATCTACTCGCAGTTTTCCCTATCCTTGTTGTAATTGTAAAAGTGCCCAGTTTGTAATCTTTTACAATGTAATTTGTTTTGGCTTTGCAGCCTTAAAGATAATTAGGAGCAAACTTGAAACAGATTCATGTCTGGCTGAACTTATGCATATTTTACTTGGATTAAGTATGGCGAGATTGTTCAATAGAGTCATCACTATTAATGGTCAGAATAATGCAGCTTTTCCTCGTGTGTGTATTGAGGCTGGCATTTCCTTGAGTTGTTTTTTGATGCAAACTAGTTTTAACTTCTCCATGTTATCTACAGTACATCTTGAGGAGGGCTATAAAAGCATGTGTGCGAATTCTTAATGTTCTGTTTCTATGATACGAATGTCTATTAAATCTCAATGACTTTGGGTGGCTGTAAATTTGCTTGAGATTTTCTTTTGCCTCCCATCATCATGCCCCCTTCAGCCCTTGATCATTTTGGTAAGCTCATAAATATTTTATCTGGGTTAATATAATTTTTGGTCGTTCAAATTTAATTTAATTTTGATATTGGTTTTTCAAGAAGTAGTCATTGTGAGTGAGAAACATATAAGCCTTTCTAAGGGAAAATATGTGAAACTGCGGCCTCACTCTGAGATATCTTCAATCTTGAAGATCTGTTAGTAATGTTTCACTCATGGTAACTTTGATGATAAATGCTTCTGGTACTGTGACTGTCAATATTTTCTCTCTCTTCCTCAATCGCTTGCAGCTTAGGGACTTTGTAAGGAGCTACACGTTTGCAACCGGTGACACCACAATGGCTGCTTATAGCAACAGGAAGTGTTACACCGATGCAGTTGAAACTAAATCCTCACCTGCAAGAAGAATAATTTAATGTTAAGACAGACTGAGAGTTGATTTTGCCCAATCTTTAGATTACAAAGAATCTGAGAAACCAGCATCATCTGCTTTATTTGACGGAAAACGGAAGTCAGAAGCTTGTCAACCTATTGTTTCGAACATGCTGGTGAAAATTTCCCCAAATTAACACTATCTCCTCTTGAGTTCGTTTGACTTCTATTTTAGATTTAAATATAAAACTCTAATATGTTTTATTTCTCATATTTATCTCACTTTAAATAAAATGAATTGTGATTTTATACCTAGGACTAAAATAAAAATCTAAGTTTTTATATTAGATAATGGAGGTAGTGGTATATTCTAACGCAAGGTTCTATAGGGAGGTATCCATATACTCTGTCTTCCAGCTGAAGCATAGAACATGAAGCAATGGATTATTGACACGCTTTCTGGGACATATTTATCTTTCTGTCTGGAAGGTCATCTAACCTGAACCCTCTGCGTCTCATTAGGCTCTTGTCAAGAGAGTCAGACGTGACGAATGAAGAGTCATATTTTCAAGCTTTCACAGGAAAGAAGTTCTCGTTAAAACATACTACCTCCTGCTCTTAATGTAAGATATTATTTGATTTTTATTTTGATTCTGAATATAAGATTCTAATCTATTTTGTCTCTAATATTTATGTATTTGTTTCTAAGGTAGTCTTTCTAATAATAGTAGTTCTAACCAACACACTTAAATAACAATGATATTTTAGTAAAGAAAACGTCTATTTATTATAAATAACTAATTTAATTTATTTTTTTTTAACATTTTCAAATTAGTCAACTAACTCTTATAATTATAGACGGTTAGTATCTCTTGTCCAGAGTTGTACGTGTTGATTTATTTCTGTTGAATGGCGAAAATCGGCGCAGGATGCCGCAGAGCTTAACCAGTATGCCACTCTTTCTTTTATTTTCCCCCTGTGTCTCATTTATTCTCCCGTGAAACCCGAAATTATTACCGCACGCAACAATTAAAAGGCTTTCTCAATACAAGAATTAGTTATCATTTGACCCCCAATCCAGATCAAAGGCAGGATCAGTCATTTGTGAAAGACAAATGGGGACTAACAAACAAACCCTTGGTGACCTCCACCTTGGAGGGTAGTAAACCTTGGGCGTGATGGTCAGTGTAAGAACAAAATATATAATTCAAATATCGGATTTAGTCAGAAAATGATTATTGAGGAAAAGAGGCGAGCTTGTGGGAAAGGCATGGATCTTTCATTGCTTATCATGATTGTTAGCACGAGACAGAGCACTCCACCTCGTCAGAAAAATGGACAATGATTTGTGACCATACATTATGCTTGTGGGGGGATTGATTTTGGTTGGGAAATATTGACTTTTCCCACCTTCGAGTGACAAGTAATTTTTGGAGATTCCAGGTTTTGTCTTCTATGTTATAAGGATTGACAAAATATGTTAAGTTTTTGTCTTCGATCTCTGCTCGCAACAAATCCAATACGGCATGGTCAGTCAGCCACGTAGGGCTTCATTTGGGTGCTGAAACACTGCCCGCGTGGAGATTTATCATCAACACCCCACTCATGCCACGTGCCATGCAACGGGTTTCCTGGTTGTCAACATTGTGCGGCCATGTCCAGTCTCATTTCTGCTTCATTCAATCAATCAATAAGAAACTATGGATTGAGTTCGCCGTGACAGAAGATATATAGATAAGTTAGACTTGGGTCTCACTAAATTATGTGTACACCATATTATTCCCTTCTTAGGACTTGATGTATCAGTTAATTTCCTGTTTTTTTTTTGGTCAAATCAGTTAATTTCTGTTAAAGAATAAAATCTCTTCCAGCGATACCATGTCTCAGTTATAAAGGTTTCACACACAGGTAGGGCGGTTGAAGGATGTGTACGGACCAGCAGGCTCCCTTATGACCTTACCCATATTAAAATCACCCTCACATTGATCCTTGAGATTCACGAACTTCATTCCACACTCACATATGCTTATTTCCATTTGGTAATTTTTTTTTTTAAAAAAAATTGTATATATTTTTCTTCGGAAACACAGTTTACAATTCTATGTAGATAGGTACGCACTGTAATCAGTGCTAAATCCATCCCAAGAGTCTTTCATGTTGGGAGGACGAAAGAAAATTGAAAAAAAAAAAAAAAGGGAAGAAGATAGATCTTGATTGGGGTGGGAATGCATTGGTTAGGCCCCACCGGTTTGGACGTGTTTGTTGAGTCAAGGTCTTAACTCCCAAGCCTGAAATGAAATCTGCAGCGTCTCAGGTAACTGTCTTGTTCCTCGGGGTTATCCTTACTGGTAATCCATGTTTAGGCACAGGAAAAGGACCATACTGAATACCATCTTCATTTCCCACGACTTGCCACCTAAAGCACCAATCAAAAGAGCGTCAGTACAAAATTGACCAAATCTGTCTGGGAAGAAATTGACATTTTTGGCAAATTAAAACATCCAAACTCCTCGGTTTTCCCCCTACATCACTTGATTATCAGGATACCAAAAATGTATATGCGTCTTGTCAATTTGGGACTAATGGCAGGCACGGGGTATGCTTATCTTTTAAGATAAAGTCCAGGATCCTTTGAAGCAGATTAAAAGGGAAAATTGAGCAGGTGGGGTCGGCTTTCAGAATGAATATCTGAGACAGACGACAGTGTGAAAAAATGGTGTGGTGCCTATTTGTGCAGAGGTACGTGTGGTGTCAAGTAAAGCTTGGTTGTTTCAATTTGACTGCTAACAACATGGGACTTTGTCTTGGTTTTCACAGCTGGCTCTCAACATGTGTTTCTGCCATTTGATCAAGACTCGGCAGCTGGCAATTTGAGTGGACTCATTTTACTGTTATTTCTGCTCCATTCGAAAGTTTTTTAAGTGATATAATTTGTAAATTTTAAGGACCATATTCTGATTCACCAAGATAGTAATACAGATGTCGTCAAACGCCATACGTTGATCAAGTGGCATACACAGTGACATGTCTCGTTCTATTTTAAGCCTCTTGCTCAGGCTGCATGATGTCCATGCATCACAATAATTATCGATATAGACATGTAAATAAGTGAATCTAATTGGTAATGATTGACCCGCCCACTTACAATACTTTTTTATGGATAGAATTGTAAATATCCCAAGTTTACATAACTACAATATATTCTGCATGTTAGCCACGTATACGGATTGAATACAGGAACGTTAAATTCTAAACAGCCTTTCGGTGGTGTTCAGTTGCGATGGAAATCTTATATTGTTTATCACACCTTAACGCGAAGGACCACTTCCAAGGCCCAAGGAACACCATTGCAAGGACCACCATTAACAATCACCTTTACATAGTCAACTAAGATCTAGGGTGGTAGACAAAACTACTTTTGTAAAGCTTCGTAAAAGATCTATTCTCTAGCAATGGACTATGGACCCATCTACATTTAGAACTGATGTTATGGATGGGCAGGGCGAGACTCATCACCAGCCAAGCCTAAGCAGTGAGGGATCAGAGATATCTGTGTGCTTGTTGGTTTCATGAGGCATCGTCGTGTTTAATTTGGCTTGTGAAATCAATTTGGGTTCAGAAAGAGAGGTGAGGAAAAATACCTGTAAGAAATGGCGAGGTGGTGGAGGAGGACGAGAATCTCGAGCTTAGCCAGGTCACTGCCTGGACAAGAGTGGACTCCTTTCCCGAATGGCATGTACGTGTTTGGTCTCGGTGGCACCTTCATCATCACATAAACGTCAAACCCCATTTCTCTGTTGTACTTAATTTCTTAATTACTACTGTACCAGCTAGCTACTCGCGTAAATTAAATGAACAGAAAAGCCACTGTGGGAATTATTTGTACTAGCCTACAAAACTGGATCACGTGCTCTCAAAACCCGAAAGATTTCAACACAAGAATCACCAAAATAGGGGAGAAGATTCATAGAGGACATGAAAAGGACCTCACCACAGGATAATCTAGCCATTGATAACCTTGTGTTTCTGACATAACCAGATAACACATAATAACACTCCCCTATCCCCTGGCTTTATAGCTCTTGGTCACAAATCCTTTTCGCCACTCCCACTCGATATATGTAGAAACAGGTTTTGGGGTTATATTTGGAAATCATCGTTATCGTCTCTCTTGTATACTGTGGTGCATGTAACGTTCATTATTAATTACCTCAAATCTGGAAGGGTCGAATTTGTCGGGTTGAGGGAAGAAATCAGCAGAGTGATGAATGCTTCTGAAGAGGGGAAGCACCTTCCAACCCTTAGGAATTGAATACCCTTCCAGCTCAACATCTCTCACCGCTTCTCTGAATGTGAATGACAGTATGCTTGCACTTCTCAGCGTTTCTTGAATTACCTGAGAATTCCATTCTCATTTCAGCAAACCAAACCACAACCTTTGCTCATATGTTTAAATTAATTAATAAAATTACCCGGCTGGTGAATGGCATGCGCCTGGTATCATCCCACGTAAGGCCCCGATTTTCCTCAACAAGTTTGCTTCTAATCTCTTCCTGTTCTTTCTGAAACATTTGGAAGCATATGCGCTGACAGTGAACACGAAGCATATTTAAGGGGAAAAAATTGGTAAAATTAATGTGGAGGAGATTTGAGATGATTCTACCGTCACGGATTCTAGAAGATGGACATTATCGTGCAGATACTTGAGAACCCATGTTATGGCACTAGCAGTGGTATCGTGGGCAGCAAATATGACGCCTATGAGATTATCAGCTATCTGAGAATCAGTGAGTTGATACATCTTTTGATTCCTCGCTCGCAATAGAATTCCCAATAACCCTCGTTCATGCTTCTCACTTTCCGTTCTCCTACGTATCAGCGTCCTTATGGTCTCATTCAGAAGCTTCCTCGCCTTTATATAATATAAAAGGGATATTATCAGAAAGACAGTGGGAGAGAGATTAGTTAAGATGGGGTAGAAACAGGGCGCAAGTCCAAAACTTGACAGTACCTTCATTGCCTTTCTGTAGGAAGTTCCAGGAAGATCCCAAGGCAAGGAATTGTAGCCTTTCTCCAAGCACCGATACAAGTCTTTGATTTCTGCCATCTCGACTTCCTTGGTTTCGCCGAAGGCCGAGATAACCGCCACCTCGAAAGCATACTAAAACAAACCACAAGAACAACAGAATCCGCTGAGTATGCTGAAGCACATGTTGTTGGTAACCGACCGACATATACAAACGGAAAGGCGAAAGGGACGTACCCTTTTCATTTCTTGGAGGGTGTTGATGGTGGCGTGGTTCCAAGAGGGGAGCAATCTGAGAACGATGTGCTCAATCTCAGAGACAGAGTTCTTAAGAGCAGAGGGTAAAAAAGAGGCCTGAACCAGCTTCTTGAGCATGGAGTGGTAAGCACCCTGCTGAAAGAAGACGGCCTCGGGGCCGATCAATTTCTCTTTGCTTGGGGGGAAGGTGGGCTTAAACAGGTGCGCATGAGTGACGAGCACAGTCCTGGCCGCCTCGGGGCTTGATATCATCACGCATGGACATCCCAATATATGTGTCTTGAATATGTCACCGTACCTGATAAAGTGTTAAGTACACACACACACACATACTGTCATATCAAATCATGGGGCAAAGGCGGGAGAGAATTAATATATATGGGAAAGTGGTTACCGTTTTTGACGGTTGGAGAAGAAGTAGTTCGGGTTCTCCGTGTAGAGCTTGAGGGTCTCGCCTATATAGGGCCAACCAACGGAACCGGGGGGCAAGCGTTTGTGGCGGGAGCGACGCCATTGGACGAAGAGGAGTCGAAGAAGGAAGAAGGAAAGGAAGAGGAGGAGGAAGAGGTGCATGGCCGGAGTACGATAATAAATAGAGAGCGGAAGATAGGAAGAGGGCGGCGTGAAAAGGGGAGGGTTGAGCTCTTTTATAGAGCTCAAGTGCCCCTCCAGAGTCGACTCTGCGCATATGGCTGTGGGGTTCCGTTCTGGGACAGCCGTCACCACCACTGTCATGGAAACGTCTGCCTACATATATTGCCCGTTAAGATGATGCTATACGTCCAAGAAATTAGAAAGTAACAACACGATGAAACAAGCTGACAAGTGCATCTGCATGAAAATGTTTAAAATAAATAAAACATACCGAGTTTGGGAGACGGAGACTAAGATCGGTGATATCGATGTAAAGATGATTAATTACTATGCGCCCCCCTCTTTCTTCGACCTTCACCCTTTAAAAGGTTATTGTGTGAATGTATCCATCATTTATAAGGTGAATACTAACTAGTATTTTGTGACGATAGCGGGGTAAAATAAGACAGCATTAGTGATATGAGTATTTACTTCGTCATTAATCATAGAATTAGAGGTAACATGATAGAGAGAACGAAGTTGGTGGGGTTGAGGACGCGCGGGGCAGAGGGCGTGAGGAAATGGGAGGAGGGAAGCAGACACGTGTGAGCAGGGGAGGAGGCCACAGAGGGAGGAGGGGAGGGTCATCCTCGGAAATCAAACTCGGAATTTTAAAAGAGGAAATGTTAGGGAGGGGAGGAGGGCCACGAAAGAGAAGGCGTTGGGGATATGGGTTCACGACTTGCGAGATGAGAATTGAGATGATGTGAGATGTGGGTGCTTGTGTTGTGTTGCGTTCTCAGTGCTTCTCATGGGGGAGGGCGGCCACGTGTCCCCGAGTTGCCATCACCTCCCCTAGCTTCTTTCCAAATATGTTCAGGGGCCTGTGCTTTCCAAACACCACCTACAGATCTGCATCTCTCTCTCTCTCTCTCTCTCTGGGAATTGCAATGCTTTTAAGTTTTGATTTCCTCTCTGCAGGACACGCGTTCCTTGGGAGGTCTCCCCACCTGAGAATTGCCTTGCCCTCTCCCCTTCCGACTTCATGAGAGCCAAGCAGCATTACTCTGGCACCAATCGTCCGCTCATGGCTTCTTCCCTTTCATCATCACCCCACCTTCATTTTCCCGTTTCTGTTTCATCCTCTTCAGCTCATATTTTGGTTGTTGCTTTCCTCCGCCTTCTCATTTCTTCGTTTTCTGCCACTTTCTATGCTGCCGCCGGCTTCTCATTTCCGGTCAGCTAATCACCTTGCCAAAATTTCAACGCCATGCTGGTCCTGGCTCTCTCTTACTTTAAATATGGCGTCACTGCTCATAATGCTCCCTTCTCGTTTCCATTTTCTTCCATGCGCTCATGGGGCGTCGTAATCCTATGCAGTCATGTCCTTTTTTAATCACGTTTGGATGGGGGTAATAAACATCAATGGGCCCAGGTTTGGGCCTCCATCTTCCCATCCACGACTCGGCATTGTTAAAATAGAAAGATGGCCCGCACTGTTTTATTGGACGGGTCCACCATGAATTGCTCGGTACCCAATCATTCCTCCTATCATTCCTTGTTTGGCCAGGGCAATATATACATGCATACGTATATACACATATACATTATATATATACACACGCACGCGATTTTATCTTCAACCTTATCATATTTCGCTTTTTCTTTTTTTTTTTTGAGCAAAAATCATATTTCGCTTTTCAAACAAGACTTTGAGAATTGGTTTACTGGTTCCGTTGACGTTGACGATCCGAAACACGCCGTAAATCTCAATCCTGACGTCGGTTTAAAACAGTACCTAAATCTTCACGAGATCACGGATTATGATCGTAATATATAGTAACGGTGGGGTTCGTTTGACAAAATGGCGGACAAAAGTTAAAAAGCAATTAGCCATAAATATGTTTAAGTATTTTCTGTCACTTTACACGTCGGCCCGCATGTTGTCATCATTCTATTGCAAGTTATGGACCACTTACTCCAACTTTGCTCACTGCATGTGACTATTATAGCAGGGTACTATTTTTTAGGCCAAATGGCGCAAAATAAATAAACACACATAATTAAAAATAATCTTTTCTTTTTAAATTGAAAAGGAGGCCAAACTGGCCCTGCCGGGGATAGAATAGAATAGAATTCTCCGCCTCCTCTATGCCAGGACCTACTTTGGCATTAGGGCAATGGATCAAGGGCTTGAGTGCTTGACTTATGATCTTAATGGTGAGTTTTGGTGTTTCAGATAAACACAATGGATTTGTCCCTTTTCTAGTCACCTCATCATCATAGCTCAGCATCTGTAATCTAAACGAATCTAAGAAAGAAAAAGCATGATTAACTTCATGTATGATTGAATATGCTCACGAGGACCCGTCCATTATTTCATATATATAAATATGTATGTGTCAAATAATGACTGTGATTCTGATGCTATTTTTTTTAATGCAACTTCTTTAATTTAGAATTATAAAAATGAATCATACTATTGATCATCAGCAAGTTTGATGTATATAAAAAGTAACGAAATCTTTGTTGGATATCCTGCTCTCATGAAATTTCGTCAATCAAGTACTGCTATCTAACTGACCGTCTTTCATTCCCGTATGTGTAGGGCGTTTATGGTTCAATATATTACTCGGGCTCTTTGATGTTATGAACGACACAGCTAACTAATCAAGCTATATTTCCACGGTTTAAATCTCATGACTTCGATCCCACCGATGTTGATAAATTTCGATGCATGCGTTAACATATTTCCTCTGGAAATAAAATGGAATAATAAACTTTTTTCGGTGTAAGGAACATGCGAATTATTTGCATTCATAGGCATATGCCAATGGCGTCGTGACTTGATTAAGAGATTGGGCATATTCTGGGCAGCAATTTTTCGACGAAAAGAAAAATCGTCAAGATTCCTCCACTAATTATATCCTGCTAATTACTCAATTATGTTTAATAGAAGGAAATATATATTAACGGATGGCATACCGCATCATAAAACCTTGCTAGCATGGAAACAACCCAACCCAACGCATTCTTATTCTTTTCTTTACAAATGACACGTATTGCCACCAAACATTTAGTAAGCGATTCGACAAGGGTTGCAGAATTAGGCCTATATATAGAAGAAAACACACACACACACACACACATGTAAATATATGTTAATAAAGAGCGAACTAGAGATCGCTGGTATATATAAAGGCGCACCCACCGTCATCTGAAGTCTCCCAAGAACACGAACCCCGCCAGGCCTCTGTGATTTTTAGGGTATGTATATAGAACTGGCTGCAAGCCAAGGACCACAGTTGAATAAAGGTAGGAACGGTTCTAATTAGCAGCTTTTTACTTGGCTCTGTGTTTGCATGAAGTCAGGTATATGATTATTATATGTTTGGGCGTCTCGTGTTTTCTTCTTCTGGGGATCGCTACGAATACGATCGTTCGAACCAGAATTAAGAACTCTTGCTGACTTGTTTCTAGCTGTTATTAATTTCCCTCATACAAAGCCCTTTTTCTTCACCTGATTCTCACCCCGCAAATCCAATAATCTCAAATTTTCTTCAGAAATCTGAGACTTAATCAACTTTCGGTGCCAGTACGTAACCAATCGAGAAAAGCCTTGTCACCCGGGATGGCAGGTCTTTCATCTTTGAATCTATATCTATGAGGCTGGGTTCATTAATTACCTTTATTGCTTACATTATTTATTAATTAATTATGTTATATCTTCTTTATTTTCCTTCACTTGTAGTAATTTTCTCATCTACACACACATATATATAATGGCGCGGCATCATCAATTGATCAGGATAGAGAAGAAGACTGACAAGACCACAGTCTGATCTGCGAGTGCGGCATCATTAAGATTCACACTGCTCTTATGGTAGTGGGAATCTTGATGATGCTGCACTGGCAAATCTATGACTATTTGCTTCCCGCTGAGTTTTGGATCTTAACCGATCTCAATCGGAATTCTTAATTTCCTGATATCAAGGTAAGCTTTGGGCCGGCCTGTGTGTGTAATCACAGGCACACATACTTGTCATGCATGCTTCTCTATCATCTTTCTGTTTGTTAACTTGCTGAAGGCCTGAAAAGTAAAAATTTCGACATAATATACATCCATCAAGCCCTCATTACATTGAGATTTCAGAGATTTAAAAAGCATTATCTCTATTGTTTATTGATGCCTTCTCTTTTAATATGTACTGTATTTTCGTCAAGAGCCACTCCTGTCCAAGTGCATCACGTGGAGGTTAATTATAATTCATGTTCAGAAAAAATCAAAGTCTGAGTCTGAGCTTACAAAACATTATAGTTTGTAAGGTATAGTTTAATTTCTCAGGAAATCACTGACCTCTTTGTGGTGGGATTCCAATGAGAGTACATGTTTTATAAAAGAAAATGTCCATCTAGCTGGATGATAACAAGTACAAGATTCTCCATGTATATATACAACTGCTCAAACATATATGTTTGAATTTTATAAATCTCTTACATAAAGGAACCAAAAAGTAGACATGAATCACCAAGGTGTCAATTGAGAAACTCACTCTACCCAGTATAGCTTATCGGAGAGAAAAAGTAGGGCTTTAACCCCTGACCGAGGTGCCTCAATTAATTAAGAATCACTGCTGGAGCACCATTTCATATGGTAGCGCCATCCCTTGTTAAGTGATTCATCAAAGGAGGATCTATGAAGCGCACTTGGAAAGTTGTGGGTCGTAGAACATCAAAAAAGCTGGGTTTTTTTTTTTTTTTGGGTGTCGCCGATATGGATAATGGGCATTTTATATACTTTGAGGATATCGATGGATAGAACCAGGTTCGACAAACCTTTTTTTATTAGAATAAAAATTGAAGTACCGTATGTTAATAGAGATCTTGCGCATATGTTAGGTGTTAATTACCTCAGTATCTATTTGATTTATATGTATGATGCTAGCTGAAGCTTTTGCTGATTGTAAAAGATCCATATATAGTGATGAAGGTGCTGGGCTTCCGAGTTTACGTGGACTTCAAATTAAATTGGTACATCCTTGCCAGAAAGACAGATTAAAGAAACGATTTTTCTTTTCAATAAGAATTAAATACTTGTACCCAAATTGAACTCCTTTGGAAGATTTCGATATGATCAGAAAAATCCCTGTGATTGGTTTCACTCTATTTAGTTTTTATATTAGCTCTTCTCCCTTGCCCTCTCCTCTCCATCGCGCGCCCATTCACCTCCGTAGAATCAAATTCATAGACCGACACTGCAGAATGATTTTCCCCCTCAAAACATTTTATTATTTTTTCTGAATCTTAGAAAGTTAGAAATATATAGATTTGTATTCATTATTCATGATGATTAATAGCAAGCCATAATCTATTCAGGTTTATGTGCTTGACTTATTTCTTATGTATATACTCCTCCGGTCCTTAATATAAGACCTAATTGTTGAGTTGGTTTTGATCCTAAATATAAGACTCGTTTATCATATTTATCAATTTTTTCTAAATTACCTCTATGGATACTTTCTCAACCATAATCAAGTAGAAGAGGAAGATGGAGTATTAAGAAAGATGATTATAGTATTTTAAGAAAAATATGTCACATTTCTTATAATTAACTAATTTACCTAACTTCTTTAATCTAATTAAATTGGTTAAATGGTCCTTATATTAAGGATCGGAGGAGTATATTATATCGTGATATATTTTTCAAGAATCAAAATCTTCATAAAGTTGAGGCTCTATCGCATAGCTATGGACGAAGGTGCCCATTTAGAATATTTTAGATTGAGAATGAAACATTAGGAACAATAATTTACTGTATTTGAATATTTTAATCAATTTCTAAAACACGGGGAGCGTGGAAATTCCTGTCCTAAATGATCGTTCGAGATTTGATGAAGCCGAATCATTGACAGATATCCATGTTGAACATTTGTGGACTGCTTTGCCAACATGATGGTGAGAAACTTTAAAACCCTATATTTGTTTTTTTTTTTATAATTATTATTGCTTGGATTGAAGTTTGACCCCTTATGACCTGCTTTCACATGCATGAATGTTATGGGGGAATTAATGAATCAGTGAAGAGTCCCCATGGTTTGGAAGGAAGAGTCCATCCAACATGTCGTGTGCTCGCGATCTGATAATGTTGGGTGTCGGATATGCTCTCAATGGCCCGGGATATTTAATAAGGCTATTTAGCTTAAAAAACATTAAATTAATTTATAATTTAATTTAATTTCGGTTAACTTAGTTTGGATGGGTAGTAACACACTGAGAAATATGATGAGTGATACTGGTTACTACAACTCTTTCCCTTGTGAGGTACATTAACCTTTAGCAGTGATTTTTTTCTTCTATATTCTTGTTTGAAATGCACCTGATACTCTGATAATCATTAGAGAACTCAGCTTAAAAAAAAAAAGAAAGATAATAATTGGAGAACATCATGCAAGTATAGAAGTCATGGAGGACTGAATTTTTAATTTCATTCACATTCTGTGTTTTGCTTTAAGGGGAGACAGTAGCATGAACATATGTAGCTGACAGCAACATAAATTAAAATATCAAGGGCATCAGTTGAAATCTAATTTGGAGTGTCACACACACACACACGCTTTAATATGAACGTGCGATTGCATTGCGGACACAAATTTCATTTTATCATTGTTATTACTATTGTGTCCTTTTATATATGTTTACGTAATTTTTATTATCTAGTTAATATGCTCAATAGCAAGGATCATCCTAGCAATAGCTATATACATTCTTAAGATTCAAGTCGGTAAAGACTTCGAAGAAGAACTGTAAAGTAAAAATCATTAAGAAAAGTGGATATATGGATGGATCCATCGCTAAAATTCAACAATATAATGAAATGAAAGAGGATGTTTGCGTTTGATTAATAGGAAATCCTCAAAATGAAAGCTGTAGGCCAACATCTTAGAGTTATCCTTTATGATGATGTGAAAATGCAGCACAGTGCAATAGCTTCCTTTTGTTTTATAAGGAAGCGTGCCGGTTGAGTTCCTATATTTCCACCCCCTTTGGTTTCCCCTCTTTAGCTTTTTCACTTTAACTCCGATGTTAGAGGGTTTCTTGTTTTTCTGTACAAATTTGTTTTTGTGTTGTGGATATGCAAGATCTTGACGATATATGAAAGTATGAGTATTTTAATTTCTGATGGCGAACAGAAAAGCTGGGGGCCAATATGCGTAATGGCGTACTGTGCAGCAGAATCTGTCCCTTGTAAGATTTGAAAAAGTAGAACGTATAATAACCCTTCCAACAATATCACAGTCAAACTAATAAAATTATTAGTTAAGAATAAAAACACAAACAGACTTGGTGAGATCAGTGAAAAGATAATCACAGCTGCAGGAGAATAATCTGTCCCTTCCAAATTCAAATTATAACGTCTTAAGGTTCAAGAGTAGCTTGTAAGTTGTAAGCCTCCCATCATATCCATCACAGTTAAGCTGTTAAAGTGGGAATAAAGGGAAAACACAAACAGATTTGTGTTGAAGGGCCATCTCCTATACATTTACCATTCTGAGCCGTCCGCCCCCACCCTGACCATCCCACGTGCACCTCACATGTCTGCACGTGCCGCTCTTCCCCCGGCGCCAAACAAAAAATTCTGAAACATGTTGAGGATTTTCATTTGCGCCAACCGCAACACACCACGTGACTTGATTTTGACCATTCCTCATTCATGCTTCCTGCTGATTGTTTCTCATCATATATTCACTTTGTTTTTGCCCCCTGCGTTTCTCTGGTTGTGGGCGCCTCAGAATTTCACGACCTTTGTGCATTTCTGCTGTTCTTATTGCAACACACTCCTCACAAAAAGCCCTCCTCTGGGCTCCATCGGTCAGCCTCCTCAAAAATCTCTCTCTGTTTTACTCTGCTTTTGAGTTTTGATTACCCCGTCAAATTAATTAGCATGACTTGCACATGCATGCTCCGCAAAATTTTTGACCGGTCAAATGATAATCTTCATAACGAAAGGTTTTTCTTTCAATATATAAAAACGCTTCAGATCAAAATCCTTCACATGTCAAGTTCAGCAGCAGCCAGAAGCACACTTAATTAGTTGAGAATATTCAAATCAAAATGTACAGCTTCATCACTGCGGAAGGCTTCTAACTACTGCTCTTCTCACATAAGTGCCATGTGCTTGTGAATCCAGGACTCTCTAGATTAATCCCTAAGGAAGAACTAGCAATATAGTAATATATATACGCCGCTGCTAATAATTTTATAATGAGCATAGGAATGGATTCTAGTTTTATAGGGGAAGCAAATGTAGATGCACAACCCAACAAACAGCACCGACTCCATGCATATGATGCAGAAGGAGGAGTGAAGATGGAATATTATTGGAGCGATGACCATATCTACCGCTTCTCTGTTTTACCACGAATAATGCTTTACCATGATTATTATTATGATGCAGCTCATGCCATATTTTATTTCATTTTTAAACCTGAGAATTAAAGGGAAAAGCGAAGCCAGATTATTTAGAGTGGGAATTGACAAACAAGAGTCATGTTCCTTGGAAAACGGGAGGGATTCATGAACATAATTAAATCATTAATTGTTATGTGAAGTGAAGCCCTCTTTTTGACTATCAAGGAAGGATGCAGAGTGATGTCAGGGGCGCATTCATCCATGTGCACATTTTCTGCTATAGCAAGAGGCATCTTGACCGAACGCACAGCTTGAACCTTGTCGAATCACTTAATCATCATCGCCTCATTCTAACCATTGCGCCCCCTCGCAACAAAAACCTTGGGATATATGCTCCTTATTGCTTCTTTAAATTCACCACGAAACAGTACAAGTTTCCCTTTTTTTCCTTGAAAAAGAAAAGAAGAATAAATAGACCACAGAAACAAAGAGGGAGGCACAAGGTGGGTGATAGCCATAGGCGTTGCTGTTATAAGTTGGCGTGTGGGTGATGGACGACAAGTGGAAGGTATCAAAGAAGGAAAGAGGCTCGAGTTCAAGCGGCCAAGCGTGGAGCTCTAGTGACAGCAAGTCAGTATTCGCCAGGAGTGCCTCAGCAAAAAGCTCCTCTACTTCTAACTCTCCTCTGCTTCGAAGCTTTTCTCACAAGGCTCCTTCCTCTGCATCGTCCTCCAGCTCCAAGTCCAATCTTCCCAGGAGTTTCTCCCAAAAGAATTCCACCTCCATAGGTAAAAAATGCACCGATTTGGCCAAGGAACAGAAAGCCAGGTTTTACATAATGAGGCGGTGTGTTGCCATGTTAGTTTGCTGGCACAAGCATAGAGATTAATTCTTGAAGCAAGTATATAGCAGAACAGAACACCCTAGCTAGGCCTACTTTACATTCTGTGGCTTTAACTGATACAGATCCAACCTTTTTTCTTTCTCATTTTTCAATATAGATTCGATTGTAATGACGACTAAGTTGAGTTGAAGGTTTTAATTACACTACACATTGATTTATCGTCATGCCTCTTGTTCTATCTCATCATCTGTCGATATCCCGTCTCTGTCTCTGTGGTTCTCTCAGTCTCTATGTTTTGGTTTAGAAGGGAAAGTCTTCCTTTTTGGTGGAGGAGAGATAGATTCTCTATAGCTTCTTGAGGGTGTTGGAGACAGCAAATATATAAACAAAAAAAAAAAAAAAGTATGTAGATATGCCTAGGAAATGCAAGCCACATTCCTTTTTTCCCACACACCCGATCGACGTGTTCCGTCCAAAATGTTGCGACGTCGACTTACATGACTTCGTTTATACTTTATTGTTCTTTTCCCTGACTTCAATGACACCCTCAAGGGGGATTTTGCTATTTGAAGCTACTTCACCTCGTAGCAATTCATTTTTGAAGTTGGTGGGAATGTGATCATCGATTTGAAATCTTCATTCCCTGTTCTCTTCTCACTAACCACTCCATCTTTTTCTCGCAAAATGGCTTTTATCAGGCGTTACAATTTTACTATTGCAAGGCTCAACTGAAAAAATGCAAGTCCACTGATTAAGTTGATCTTTTGGTCATATAGAAGCTCCGTGACCAGGAAAGGAAGAATGAAGAGAAAGCGAATAGCAAAAATTGACCCGAAATCTCGACTTCGCCTGAGATGAGAATTCAAGATTAACGCTAATAATATCTCACCTGTCAGTTTTTTTTTTTTTTGGCCAGAAGCTTATTTTTGTTTATTATTTACATTTCCTTCCATAATAACAGGTCTTTACGTTTACATTTGTGAAGCAGCTCTCCCTTCATCTCTCACATTTACATGGAAATCATGATGAAAGAATATACTCCTCCGGTCCTAATTATAAGACCCAATTGACTTATTTGAGAAGATTAAGGAAGTAAGTTAAGTTGGTTATTTATAATAATAAGTGTTGTCATTCTTAAAATATCCTTGCTAATTAAGTATATTGGCTAAAACTATCATTATTAGAAGGATTATCTTGGAAAAAATGCATAAATATAAGAGAAAAAATGAATTGGGTCTTATAATTAGGACCAAATAAAAAGTCAAATTGGGTCTTATAATAAGGACCGGAGGAGTACCATCAAACTCTTCCCCTATGCAATGGGCTTCTTGTTTTTCTTTTTGTGTGTTGTTTTTTGTGTTCTTTTTTGGGGGGCGGGGGAATAATGACATATCAAGAGTAAGTATTCGATTCAAGAGTCAAGGAAGAGCAACCTACTGAACGTAAACCTCGCGGCTTCAGTATTTTTACTGGCATCAGAATTAGATTTAGAATGGTCAACACTCGAGTCAAAACGTTCGAGGTGATTTATGGTGAGGCGGGTCAGCGAGAATGCTGCAAGTATATTTGATTTATGTTCACGTGAAACTTGCAGGGGAAAAGCCGAAAAGGTGAGCGCACCGAAGACAACAATGGAAAGAAGAAATATCATATTCAATTAATCTCATATATTATTCATCAGTTCTTTTGGAAAAAGATGGACGTACATTCCTGGAGACACAATCCAGTAAAACACGTACCCGAAATTTCCTTCAATAGTTTAGTGCAAGGACAGAGTCTCAGAACATCAAACTGCCACAACCCAAAAACACAAGTTAGACACCAATTTTCGTTTTCTCTTCACCCTTATTGACCACGCCGAGAAGAGGGGAAAAAGATCTCGGCAAAATCCTATAGCTTAAACCAAAGTAGAGAAAGAAAAGAAGGGTAAGAGATGGAGAAATTTGTCGGAGGATCAAGAAACAAAAGAAATCAGCACTTGGGGAGATCACGCGGAGGCGGAGGCAGCTTTTGATCAGGGAGCTTCCCATCTTCCACAATCCAAGCCATCCTCAGTCCCCAACTCAGGTGTACATCGAAGTGGCAGTGCATGAGCCACACCCCTGTTTCATTCATTCCCCGCATACCAAATCAAATAAATCTCATCCCATAACTTCTAATTCTAATCATGAATTATGGACTCCGAATTAAATAAATTTTATTCACGGTGAACAGAGATAGAACAGTACTCACCTGGGTTGTCTGCCAAGAAACGTATCGCAGCCCATCCCCCAGAAGGCACACCCACAGTGTTCCTTTCAACAGGGTCCAAAAGGTTAAACTTTTGTGGGTCTGTCATAGGGTTGAAGTTCCCAAAACCTTGACCCACAACGTAAAAATTGTACCCATGGAGATGCAAGGGATGGCTCTCAGCTCCCAAAATGCTTGTGCCCTGCAATACTACCTCCACGCTGGTATTAAAGGGTATGACTAAAACCTTAGTTCCGTTGCTAACCCCGGTGTTATTGGGAGGCGTACCCGTATAGTTAAATGGTGTGAGTGGGAAAGCCGGGAAATCAGGGGTGTAATTTTCAGCCAGCCCGAAGAAATGCTGTTGCAGGATGGCCACGGAAGGCAGAGCAGAAGATATGTTATTCATGGAAGCCTGAAATTTGGATGTATTAGTGGGCCCTTGACAGGTTTGGTTTTTTGGGCATGGGCTGCTCCCAAGGCCCACGGTGAAGAAGAAGTGCCTGTCCACTATCCGGGGCACGTTGGCTGGGTACTCGGGACTATTCAAACTACGAAATTTGCTGCTGAAATTGGCGACGGAAGAAGTGTCGTTGATGGCAGGAAGGGCGGGTTTCGAGAGGCGAAGACTATTCAAACCAACATGGTTGGTGTTGGAGGGGGCTTGATATTGAAGAATGCCAGCAACAGTGGAATTGTCGAAAGTGCCCATTCCAGTGAAGTAGGGTCGGGCCAGAATGAAGAAAGTGGCGTTAGGGTAAAAGGGTTTTGTTCGGAGAAGAACGTTTGTGGTTTGTCCGGGTGTGACGAGGATGGTGTCGGAAGTGAAGGGCTTGACATAAGATGCATCGGCTTCCACCACAGTGAGGCTGTGGCTCGCTATTCGGAAGAAGAGCTCGTCGTTGAGTGCAGCGTTGATCAGTCGGAGCAGGTACGTCTTTCCCGCTCTCACCTTTATCCGGAGCGTGTCTGCCCATCATCATAATGACCATCAAATGCTTAATAAACTGTGGCGAACAAATAATGAGGAGGAGGAGGAGGAGGAAGAAATTAAGAATTGTGTTTGTGTTTGAAGTTGAAGTACTATACCATGAGCAGAGCAATTGTAGAGGGGCCCAGGGAGTCCGTTAAAGGTGTAGGCATCGGAGACATTGGGACCCGCACCTGTCCGAAGAGCTTGTGAAATAACAGCCTCTGGATCCTCATTCCACCACTCTCCCAAGAGGATGGTGTGTTCCTTGTAGGGTTTGGGAAAAGGATAAGATTGGTTACGCCTGGGCAGAATAATGAGGGGACCATAGACGGATGCCCTCAACCAGGAGATGTGAGCATGCCAGAACAAGGTTCCCCTTTGCCCCACAATGGTGAAGTTATACACATAGCTTCCCCCGGTTTGAATCGGACATTGGGTTATGTACGATGGCCCATCCGACCACCCGCTCCTCACTTGTCTCACTCCGTGCCTGCAGTTGTTTCACCCATCATTAATACTATAAGCATTCATTCATGCATGCTTCTATCTATACATTTTCTTATCTGTTCACGTTACATATATAAGTGATAAGAATATGGAAGCTCATCATGCCCAATATTACATTACCAGTGGATGGTGATATTGTTTGCAACGTGATTGACCACCTTGACCAATAATCTGTCCCCTTCTCTGGCGACAACGCGAGGCCCTGGAAACTTTCCATTCACCGTCACCATGCTCTTTGTGTGGCATAGCCTTGTAACGTTAATCAACTTTACCTGTAGGAAACAAAATGGAATCAAATTCACTAGCCATCCAGGAGAGTATAAAATTAAAGTTACTTCTAACGAGCTAGTATTATATATATATATATATATGCATGCATAGAGTGTGATTATTCGTACATCGAACTTGTAGTGCCTTGTGATGCCTCCTGCATGGCTTGAAGCAGCGACAGCAGCGTCAGAGATGGTCCAAAGGAAGCAGGTGAGCAGAAGCAAAAGACTCAATACTGAAAGAAGTGAGGTAGGGATCACTTTGTTGAACATGGTCAAGTTTTGCTGCCTCCACCACAAGTGGTAATGATAATTATTGGATATTAGTTGCGAGAAAAGTGATGAGAGACTTGGGGTTATATATAGCTAAATTATCGAGCAGCGTTTGGTCGGTTAGGTATCTCGTAAATTTCCGGGTTTAAGAACGAAGCATTCCAAAGGATCGGGACTCTGAGTCTCCAAGAAAAGATTTTTACCTACTCCTCGTCATGGTCCCATGTATATTCCAGTTTTGGAGTGTCGTTAACGTTATTTTTCATTTTTAGTCCTTCATTCTTGTCATCTTTGAATTTTACTTCTCTGGAATATTTTAATGTGAAAACTGAAACTGAAGCTATTGACACGTTTGAAATAACGGTTAAACCATCCATATCAGAAGTTCAGAACCATTATTGAAATTCCAAAACTATGCGATTAATTCTTCCATTATTAAACTTTTTTCTTGTCAAAGACAATTTTTTGCTTTCAGGCAATCGAGCATCAAAGCGCAGCCTTTTTTCCTTTTATCTTTTTTGCTGGCGCCGTGTGTATATATACAATGGAGATTTCTCTTATATATTGAATGTTTGGCGTGTATGCTAGATTAATTTCAGCCAACTTTACGTTTGGGAAGGATGCTACCACCTGGTGATGTCCATGGGTCAAACTCAAGCCCACAAAATAAATCAATATAAGGACACGATCGAGAAAGGAGGTGTTCGAAAGTCGCTAGCCAGAAAATTTAGAAAGGATAGATGTGGTTCCAACTATATAATTAATTGACGCTACAAGCTAGAAGCCTAAATATTACTAGCTATTGTTGGAACTGCTATCTGCATGAAAGGTTTCTTCCATGCACGATAATGCTTCTGCGAAACACCCAACAAGTGCGCGAGTGTATCTGTTTTCGGGTTTTGAAGAGATATAATGGAGTAATTTTTGAAGGATATGACCTGATTTATACTAATTAATCTTACTCGACCTTTTTAATGGTCATTGATGTGTCTTTTAAGTTTGGGGTATTTTAATTGTTGATTAATGATTATTATGTCTTTATCATCGTTTCGAATGGGGAGCTTTTTTTTTGGGGGGGGGGGGAGAGGATTAATAGTTTACGGAACTTCAGGTGAAATGTTATTTTCTAACAAGAGTTTGTAAGTGCTATGCAATATAAGTCAAATTGAGCATATATATATATATATATATATATCTAGCTGCACTTGATTTTGTTCAGAAAATTAAAGAAATAATAGTTAAGTCAAAAAATCGACATATAATTATTCAGTTTAATTAAGGATAATGCATGATTATGCAATGAATTGCGCCGCGCTAGCTTAAAAGTTGATGAAACAAGTAATGAAGGATATATAGTTATATATTGCTAGCTAATGGCAAATAAATAATCCCAATGGAAATTAGTGAGCGTAGATATGGAGAGGTGTATGGGTCATATTTTGATGGCTTTTCTTATTGGATGGCTTGTGTAAGGAATCCGTCAACTGCACCTATCTACCACTGCTATCTAGCTATACTTAGACTCTTTAAGCAAGGGAAAAACAGGCATCAAGCATATATATTTAGACTTGCTAAGCAAGGCAGATATGCATATTATCTTTGAGGGATCATATGAGGCTGAGGCAGAGTCAGGAGTTAATGACATCTCGTTGTCAAGAAGGACTGAAATTGGGTGCGAGACTGGTTGGTGATGGCACCATTCTCAACCAAACAGCACGTTAAGGAAGTGATTCAGAGGTAAAACTTCAAAAGAAATTAAAGGAGAAGGACACTTTGCCAACCTTTTCTTCAACTGACAAAAGCTTCTTCAAGTCTCTGTCATTCCCCTCAACTTTCACTCTCACATCTCTTACTTAATCTCCAGGATCAACTAACTAAAGAGCCATCGACAACAATCTGTGTATGGATTATGATATCATGAGTCAAGCCACTTCTGAATCATTTCTCTTTTGGATCGACACGAATACTCTCCTTTGGTAAGGAGAGAGGAAGAAGGTTTTTATTTTATCATATTTATAAGTCATTTTATCAAATTTTTAATATTAATGTATTATTTTATTTTTCATTTATTATTATGCAGATCATTTTATTTTTACAAAAGTGTATATATCAAATAGAAATAAAGTTTAAAAGATGTTAAATTTTGAGGCAAAGGTAATGAGATTTAAGATAGAATAACATCTTATCCTACCTCTAGTGCTTTTTATGAGATATAATTAATCATAAATTTGTTAATATTATGAACAGTAATAAACATCTAAAGAATTTTTTAAAATAAGAAGGTAAAAGAGAGACAGAGTATTAAAAAAATGAAAGAAAATATATTTAAAAAAAGATGATGCAATAATAAGTTAAAAATAAAATTCGTAATAATGTATTAATTTAATGTTCACAAAACTCTAAAGTCCAAACTAAATCTTATAAAAATAATCGGATCAATTCAAAAGTTTTTTCTCTTGGGTACAGCTAGCAATTGAAAAGTTTAGATGATCTTATAAGAAAGAGCGGAGGAATATTAATCAGTAGCAGACCCAATTAACCACGTATGCATGTACCCGCTGGTGCATCTTTGAGTTAAAACTTAAAACTGAACAAGCTCGAGATGGCGAGGGGGAAATTTGTGGCTGCTTGTGCTAAACAAGGATCTCAGCGACCAGTCTCTCACAAACACAGGCTATTTAGTTTGAAGTTGTGACTTGTGAGTGCCCTGAATTCTCTGAATGAAAGCACTGAGAGATTGAGGTATGATATAAAATCCCTCTGTCTGATGAGTGATGAGTCAGTGGAATTGAGCACACTGTATTTATTTATTTGAAACTAAACTCCTTCCCTATGAGGGATGTGTTCTGCTTCCTCACAGCACTAATTATGACAAAAGCAAGCCTCCCTGTGAGCAGCAATTAATGCTCATTGATTGTCCAAAAATATCTATCGCTGATTTACTATTTGTGTCTTCATTCTCTTGAAATCCAGTGAGGCGAAGCCCACCGTCAGTCTCAATGGATCCTATCATATACTACCTCTATACGAGACTCTCTTTGATTTTTATACTGATCTTATATATAAGACTCCAATCTATTTTGTTTATTATATTTACTCAAATTTTTTAAGATAGTCTTTCTAATAATTATAGTTTTAACCAACATACTTGATTAGTAAAGATGTTTTAGGAAAGACAACACCTATTTATTACAAATAACTAACTTAACTTTTTTTTAATTTTTTTAAATTAATTAATTAACTCTTATAATTATTACGAAAAGGTAGAATTATTCATATCTCATTCCTCCCCCCGGGGGGTTAGGTTATTCCTCGAGGATTCACCTCAGGCCCTTGTCACTATATTGGAAGATAGTACGTTCTTCGCCATCTTTACAAAATTCTGTTTTATTTTTGGTAGCTCTCTTATAAATAGTCTTTCCGGTAGATCAGTAACCAATTGACTACCGAATTTTTTATGCGATTGGTCTAGAATAAGTACTTTTTACTTTGTAAGAACAAAATAATTAAAATTTTACATATATAGAACAAAATAATTAAACTTTTATACATATACAAGGTTAGTATAATGCTATAGTACTATAGAGAATTATATATGATCCTTGTGTTGTGACTAATTATAGCGGTCACTTCGTTATTTTTCTAACGCACAGAAAATGATTAGATAACCTGCATTACGGTACGTAACTACTAAATGATGATGAAATAATGAATTATTGAAATTCTGAAAGTAACAATCATTTTGGAAAAGTATAAACATTTCAAAATGACTAACATTTTTTTTTAAAATTTGGTGAAAAAAGTGACTAACAATTTGAATAAGATGAAACAACACAAAATTCCATGTGTCAGCCCAAAAAAGATAATAATATTAGTATATGGCAGTGCCTCAAATATTGTGTCAAGAGCATTAAAGTTTTTATATATTTTATTTTTTTGTTTCCAAGAAAATACTGTCTGAGCCGTGGAGTGATTGAAGCTAATTAACAAGCGGAGACGACAATAAAAATGAGGAGATCATTACGATTCTTGTTGCGGACACAGAAAATTATGGTACATGGCCTTTACAATTATTCAGTCCCAGAGAAATAACCTCAAACATCTGATGACTCGGGCATGTTAACAAAGCATCACACACACATACCCACACATATACAGCAATACAGAACATGAAGCCACAGAATTGCAAGAGAATCGGAATGATATTAGTGGGCGAATATATATAAATCAGTCCCAAATCATGACAAGGGCTATAATAGCGACCCCAGAAAGAACAGCAAGAAACCTAAACCAAGGAGAGTTGAAACGGGTGGTTGTTGTGGGTTTGAAGCCCTTGGATATCAAGTGATTGATGGCAACATATATGAAAACCCCACAAGCAAGACCCATGGAGATTGAGTATATCCAATCTGCTGTGCGTCCCTCTGCTGTGGCGTCGATGGCGATTCCTATTCCCACGCCTACTGGGCTTGAGACTGCAAACGCTAAGGAATACGCCACCGTTGTCGCAAACGGTCTCTTGGGCAGCATCCTCAGCAGGGCGATCCCCATTCCTATCGCTGCAAATATCTTGTGCAGCGATATTGTCCACAAGTTTCTCCATGCTTCCCCCTTGCTCCCTATTTCATTCATTCATTCATTCACTGTTTTCAGACAACAATTAACAATCTATGTATATGAAGGGCGATTTCTCGATCGTCAACTAACCATACTGTGTTTCTGTTGCACCCGTGTGTCACGTATATTTCATACGTTTCCTAGTTCGTATATATACACATCTTAATTGGATCTTTTACAAGATATCAATTCAGGTTTAATTCTGAATATGATCCTAGGCTGGCTGAGTCGACTGACTGAACTCATCAAATTAAAGGGAGTCTCCTAAGAAAAACAATAGCTAACTGATTATTCATATGCGTTACTTTTGTTGAGGATATTCTTCTTTTCAACATACGGTACTGTTTTCCTCTTTAATTTAGCCCTAAAGTTTCAGTTATATATGGAAGCTAGCTGACTTAACTGTTCGAAGGTTACATTATTGCAAGGCTAGCTAGACTAGCAGTTCATTCGCCACTTTTGTAAAAGACCAGTGCTAAATGCCTAAATCGATGCCAGCAAACTTACATTCTCAAGATGCTCTTATTTCGTAAATTGAAAATTGTTGTTGTGAAAATAGTATGATAGTGGGATTCCATGAATTTTTGGTTAAAATCATGCATCAGTATGATAGGCTTCCTGCAGGAGGAAATCAACAAGGTAATTTCCATAAATATAAGAAACACACACACGCACACATATTGATTATTGAAATACCTGAAACTCCGACGGCAATACCCTCAAACACCGAGTGAAAACACAAGGCAACGATGAGAAGGATGGTGTCTCCCACGTTAGTAGTCTTCACAAATATGGGGTTAACCTCCAATCCAACCTCTTGGGCATGTTCTTGGGGTGTTCTTCCTCCTTCCAGTTCCAACACCTTGGCTTCCCTCTCCTTATGGCTGGTCACATAAATCACTACACAATCACCAAGCATGGTGAGGAGATAGCCCGCACAAGCCAGCATGAAAGCGAAAGGGTATGTTTTGGTGGTGAGATCACCGAAGGTCTCATTCGCATCGCTCAAGAAATGTATCATAGAGGTTCCCAAGAAAACTCCACCCGCGAATTGAGTTCCCAGAAGAATAAACGTCTCGTTCCAACGGAAAAAGTACGGTGACATGCCGCCGGCGAAGGTGCTTACTAGTAAAATTATCAAACACCATATTTTTACTAAGATCAGGCCCCTTGAACGCAAATCTACCGTCTCTCCGTCGCTGTGATGGTCGCTGCCTCCGTGGGCTTCGATCGGACTCAGGTGCCAGCCAATGAGGCACAGCAATAGAAGCGTTGACCTTAGGGCAGCCATGGAAACCTACAAATGTTGTATACCTGGATGGCTAACGTACGTGTTTTGCAGATATCACATGTATGGTTTTGTACTATATATGGAGCTTGTACTGCAATTTGACTTTTCTGGGTTATGTACTACACCACACCCGATGGGCAAGGCTTTTTTTCCCCCGCTTGGGGACTGACACCATAACGATAATAATAATGTTTTGAGATTGATCCCTCCGTTTACTACAACAGATTAAGCTTATAAGGCTTAATATTGTCGTCTGGTGTAGTACTGTAGACAACGATGACTGATCATATATAAGGGTAAAAAATTGGTTCAGTTTTATTATAAATTTTTTCTTCAAGATTTTGACCTTTAATTTTTGAGTTCCGTTTAATATGAAGTATTGAAAATGAAGAATATAAACTAGGATTGTAATTAAAAAAATTTATTAAAAACTCTTTAACATGAGTAATTGCTTATTATATAGTATTAGACAAACCTATAAAAATATGATTGGGGAATATCATTTCTCTTCGTGGTATTCGTTAATCCTATATACGAGGATTTGTTTAATCCTATGTAATAAGTAATTTCTCATACTAAACACTCTTGTAATATATTTTTTCAATCTCAATCCCCATCTCTGTTTCTCATTTTTAATACTTCTTATCAAACAAGGTGTTACAAGTTAAGCATTTTATTAATTATGTTCAATAATTATTGCCAAGTTCAATTTGTAACCACTCATTTTTATAATCACACCCGTACCAGCTGTTCTCCGCGTCCTTTTCTGTCTCGGGAGATGATGACATGAATGACGACATACGTGGATTAGAGAAATAAGTTCTTGAATATAATGCTTAGAAGATAAAATTGAGTGTTTGCTAGTAGGATTGCTCAAAAGCAGTCTTTTCATACATTATAACTAGGAAAGACGCCAGTGTTCTATTTAGCGGGTAAAATAGTAGTAATAGTAATATAATACTATTTCCTGTCTTTAATATAAGATCCCGTTTAAATTTTAGTTTGGTCCTAATTATAAGACCCCAATCTATTTTATCTCTCATATTTATACATTTTTTTCCAAGATAAGCCTTCTAATGATGATAGTTCTAGCCAATACATTTAATCAATAAGGATATTTTAGGAATAACAACACTTATTTATTACAAATAACTAACTTAACTTACTTCTTTAATCTCCTCAAATTAGTCAACTAGGTCTTATAATTAGGACTGGAGGTAGTAATAATGAAGATGATGACAATGATAATAATACAACTATCATATATTTAAACTAATTTACAGTGGCAGGTAACATTATTATTACACAAAAATTTGGGAAAATATGTCAACACAAACAAGAAGGAAGGAGACAAATAATCCCTCCCAGATACCTGCCTCTTTTTATATATGCTTAGTAATCACCACTTTTTTAATCTTATGTTTAGTATCTAGTTGAATTTTCTTATATCCAAATAAAAAATCAAAACTATTAATTGAATATATTAATATGGTATGATATTGAAATTCGAAAACAATGACATAACTGTAGTGCTTCAATCAATATATATAATAAAATTAAAATTAGTTGAACTATAATTTTACTATTATACTTCGAAATTTATGTTCATTTAAAAAGCAAGTTGCATTACCCTTACATGAGCCACCGTTTATTTTTCTTTCGGCCAAACAGCTGAAGATTTTTACATCATACGATAAAGATTTTTTTTTTTTTTTAAAAAAAAAACTTTCCTATCATCATGCGTTTGCAAGCATCCCTCTTTTGTGGTGGAAAAGGGCCCAAAATTACGGCCCAGACTGAAAGGGGTTTATCTAATACGCAGAAAGGGTTAAAAAAGGAAAATCAAACGAAAATTTTTCCATAATTGAAATGTATTTTAGACTAATTTCATAATACCACACTTCTCTAGTCCTATTTATAGAGTAGAGAAAGAAGACATTTTTTATTCTATTTATAGGGCACTAAGAGAAATTTTTTTGTATAGATATACAATTTTACGCTCCATTTATTATTGTGTTGATTTGTTTAGATAAGGTATAATGTATATTAAATAGGGCTAAGGTTGGAAAGTTATTGAATTTTAAATGAAAGTTAATGAAGTTTAAGATTTTCTTTGATCTATATAAAATATGTTTGAAGTGACTTAAAAATAAAACCAGAGAAGTATATAATACTCCCTTCAACTATTTTTACGAGTTTCAATTAATCACTTTACGTGTATTAAAAATTAATTAAAATTAGTTTTTCTTGTAAAGTTTTAAAATTATCCTCGACAAAAATTAGGAGCTAGAGGTATTACGTTAATTATTCATACTTTTTATAAGAACCAATTTAGATCAAGTTAGTTAGGTCAGGTATATCCAAATGAGAAATAAGGTTTTGCCATGTGTTTTAATTAGACATATAATCATTTAATCTCATTTAGCTCTGCTAACGACGATAGACTAGTGGCCAAGGAAAGAATGGTCGATTGTTTTCATTTCAATTCCAAAACCTTTGAACCATACATGCCTATCAACAAAGCTCAAAAAATGGTGGTAAGGACTCAATTCTTGAGGTTTGCCTTTGGGTGCAAGAACAAGAAATTCAATTGGTTTCTTCTTGTTCTTTTAAAAACGCACAACATGTCCCCATTAAATGAGTGTTTTAATTTCTTTGATCTCACTCTCTTTTATTAGTCTTCATTTTCTCTATCTCTATCCTACAATGAAGTTCATCATTAGGCTTCTCTGCCTCTAAGTCACAATAGGCATAAAAATTTTTCATAACTTTAAGTTATGTGCTAACCCTTCAATTTTAATTTGTTCAATCACGTTCGAGGGTGTGAGTAGTGGTGAAGGTGATCTCTAGATAATTTTCACATGTAAGGGTTCTTGAGTTTTCCAACTCTTGATTAATTTCGACTGTTATTGATTGGTACAGTGCAAGTCTCTGGACTTATTATGAAACAAACCATATACGAAACAATCATCACGTCATTGAATTTTCAATCAAGTCCTTGGGTTCTTTATATTTCCCACTTTGAATTTTTGGGCACGCAAGGATTATTAAGTTTTAGGGATGAAAACAATACAGATATAAAACAATCAACTGCCGTCTGATTTCTTTGGTGCAGGTCTTCAATGGCGGTCTCCTTAGAGAACCGTGAGTGACGGAGTTGAGCAGGGCTAAGTCATGAATGTCTAATTAAAACACGTGGCAAAAACTAATTTACTATTTAGACATACCTGACCTAACTAACTTAATCTAAGTTTAATCCTTTTTATAACTAGTTAGGAATATTAAGTAAAAAAATTAATACTTTAAAACAGAATGCATTATATTATGAATCATAAAAAAAATATCTTTACAATAGGGATGAGGTTATGGGAAGGAGCATGTTACATTTTGAACAAATGAAGAATTAGAAATTTTACAACCATTTTATTGGAAAAATTAATAGTTGCGTCAACAAACTCGCTCAATACGCTCATAACGTGAACATTAGAGTATTAACTTTTCATCAAGGCCCCAAAAAAAAAAAAAAGAGTAATAACTTTTCATGAAACCCTATTTTCTATTCAGGACGCCAATATTTCAAGATTTATGAGCATGAGACCCTAATAAAACTCATTCATGCAAATGCTCAAAACAGAATTGTGCACAATATTCATGCGTTTGAAGAACCCTACACAGTATCTGCGCCTTCAGACTCATTGTCCCCACTATTTCCCTGCCATCCAGACCCCATTCTAAATTTACACACAGGGCATTTTGCTTGCTGTCGCAGCCATGGATCGATGCAGTTCGTGTGAAACTGAGTCAAAGGCCAAGAAACAAAGCAATGTGAATAATAAATCGCTTATATATATGCAAATCACACACACACACACACAGATTCATGTAACCACCATTTGAAAGCGCGCTAAGATCCTCTTCAAATCAAACGCGTTATGCAGCAACAAGAGAGGCAAAACAAATTCAGAATAGAGAAAGTAGCAAGGGGCCGAACCTGATGCAAACATGGCAAGCTACGAACTAGCTCCCCTCTCTTAACTTGTTCCAAACATATAGTACACGTTAGCTCATCTTCTGGACCCTTCGCATTTCCTCGGTCCCGCCGTTATCTTGCCTAACCTGTGCTTTAACATGACATCATTCTAAATTTACTACTCAACATTACAAGCAAGCTCAGTTTGTAAAGATCCAAAACAAAACAGAAAAAATGGCCTCAAGACTAGCTATAGTATCGGAAAAGCAAGCTACATATATGATATCATAGTTGAAAAACGTCACAGGTCCAGTTTTGAGACTTCCATAGAAAGTTCGACTGTTTTTCCTGTCTCGCTGAAAATTCTGTTAGGCAATAACATAACCTTAGAGTGAATGAAGCTTGCAACCAGGAGTTAAATTAAAGTAAGTGATTACACCATCATTGCTGAAAATTGTAAGAATCAATAAATTAACCAAAAGAAAGACAGGCGATAGAGGTATCGACCTCGGTTGCGCGTGAAGAGGAAGCCAACCCAGCTGAGCCATCCCTATTGACAGAAAAACAAAGTTTGGGCCGCATCAGTTTCATGAGTCAGCACTTCTTATACAAACATGGCATAGACGATGCGGGGAAATTGTACTTTCTATGAGAATTTTGACATGCTGTCCCTTTCTTTATACATCTGAACATATTATCTTTTAGAACCTTCTATTTATACTCCTTTTCTGACTGATCCTCAAGTAAACGATCAGCTACTACTTCAAGACCAAATTATCACCCACCGATTTTGTTGCTTTTGCATATCATTTAATTGAACATGAAGACTACGCCAGGGATTAACACCAGATCTTGTTTTTCTAGCAACACACCAGTAACAATTGGGGACATAAAGTCAAAACCGCACGCAATGACAAATTTTGCAACTTCAGTGAGGCATTTCTGTTCAGCCTGAAAAATAATTAATTGAACGAATAAGCTTCTCCAGGACAAGGGGAGCTCATGCTTTTATTTTAGACCTCCCACTTGATTTGAATCTAAATTAAACCTACCCTAATGCTCCAGTTTACTG